AACACCACAACAATCATCCACCTGAGCTACCACTTCTCTCCACAATCTTCCGATCTCTCACTCGAACGCTTCACCTCCAAACCAGTGAGTTGGCAACCGATGGTATTATTGTCTAAATTTAATCAATCCAAGGTATTGCAAAACTTCTCTCATTGTGTTCGATAGTTAACACTGTCGACACTCTACAGGGTTCAATCTACAATATAGTGGAGCAAAGTTAGGCGATACAATCCCATGTCAATCGGCGACTAACAATAAGTTTATGCAACATTTATTCGCTAAGCATCCTGAAACTCAAGTACTACACTAGTTTCAAATGCGGGATTGTCAACACCCTTACGTGGTGCCTGGGTACTTATCGTTTGTAAACAACACCCTCGCCACATGAAGTCATGCCTGGCCATATCAGAATATCTGAAGATGGTGGCTAGACTCTCTCTCTCTACGGTCGGTTGTATCAGGGCATTTTGGAGTACTAACTTTACACAATTATTGACTGTCACGTATGTTTCTGCTGAACTGATAAAAATAAGTAATTCAGTCATGTTAATGTATCTTCTTAATGGGTAAACAATTTTCTCCATCGTTTATCAACTATTATTAATGTTGTTTAGCCAATATCATCTGTACATCACAAGTCTGTTACACTAATGGAAGTTAGATTTTACATTAATTTGATTAATTCACATGGGAAAAGAAATCTTTTGCAAAAACAGGAAAAAAGCTTATTGATAAACTAAGTACACAAGCACACGCACACAGAGAGAGATAATGGCTAATAATGGGATTTCTCATTATAGAGTTATAAAGATGGATGCTTGTTACTGAAATCATGCATGAATCATTGTTAGACTGCGATTAGAAACCTGGAAGCGCCAGGAAGACGGCTGTTTCTTCCTGGTATAGGACTCATCAGTGACAGTGTGCATCCTCGACTCCTGTCATTCGAGGGATTCTAATCTACTAGAGACAAGTGGGCAAGGTCACGCAAAGCCCCTTGATTGGTCAGAGTTATACATTAAAACACCGTTGGATACCGGCTCAGTGATCCAGAAGGTTAGTCGTTCGAGCGCAAGACCGAACGTCCTAAGTTCGAATCCCGTGAGTATCAGGAGTGTTGGATGCGCGCTGCTGATAAGTCTCATACCAGGATGAAACGGCTGTCTAGTGCTTCTTCCAGGTTTCTAATGGCAGTCTTACAATGACTGATTCATATTTCAGTAATAATAGTGAAATCTATGACGAAAGTTTCGTTGGATGTACTTGCATTTCCGAGTTGGTGTTCAGTCCCAGTTTTGAACTCCGTACCGTTCGCCTTAAACTCCTACTCACCAATATAGTTTATTGGCTCAGATCGTAATTACTTTATAAAAATGTAAAATTAAGGTATTTGTGAACAGAAATTCTTCACTTTTTTTAACTCTAGTGGGAAACCATGACCAGCAGAGTTCAACCGTGTTGTGTGTAGGCACTAACTACTTAAGACAATCGGAGAGGTTGCACATTGACTCAGACTGATTTAAGTTAGACACTCCTGGATACCGGCTTGATGATCTATCAGTAAGGGTCAGGTTCACACGCGAGACCGAAGGTCATGGATACTCACCGTTGAAGAGTCCTATACTAGAAAGAAACGGCTGTCCAGTACTTTCAGCTTTCTAATATTGCACATTTGAAATCATCAATCAATCATTGTTAGATCATCATTAGAAACCTGGAAGCACTGAAAGAGGGTCGTCAAGTCCTGGTATAGGACTCATCAGCAGTGCGCATCCACGACTCCTGCACCTCGCAGGATTCGAACCAAGGACCTTCGGTATTGCGCGCGAACGCCTAACCATCGGACCACTGGGCCAGCATCCAACGATGTTAATGTCTAACTCTGATTGATCTAGGGATTTTGTGTGACCTCACCCATTTATTTGTCTTTGGTAGTTACTGCCTACACCTGACAGGGTTGAACTCCATTGGTCACGTCTTCTCACCCTAGAACTCCGAGAATTTCCTCGCGAAGCTAGTAGTCACTAGTGAGCACTATTACGATATTTTTTTGGGGGTGCAGTGTTTTGTAGATTTACTGTTTTTACACATTCTAATATTGGTCTAACAATGATCAATTGATGATTTCCAATGAAAGACAATAATCTCCATATCTATCCAAACAAATATCATTAAAATTATCTCAAAATATCATTTACAAATTTTTTTTAGAAAACAATTTCTTTTGAACTATTGAACATTGGTTTATCTTGTACTAATTTATTTAACCTGTAACATATTCAAATGTTCATTCTATATTTTTACTTCTAAATTTCGATTTCGAAAGTAAGTTTAATTTGTATACTTCCCTAATATACAAATCACTCACTATCATCTGTCTAGACATGAATCGCTTTTAGACAAAATCATTTGTTTAGTTGAATTGGTCAAAATTGATATGAACTTTGTATTACAACCATGTATTAATGTATATTGCACAATTAACTCATTCGAATGGTATTATACACATATGTAAGCTAACAGTATATTGTTATGTTACGCCTGAATGTAAACACGTCATTTTGATATGCTTGAACTATTACGAGTTTACCTTGGTCGGAAAACGAGAGCGAGGATCGAGGATCTGGTAACACGATATGCTACTCAAATCCGATTATCCCAACCCCCATATTGAGTGAAAATAAGAAGACATGATATGAAGTATTCTGCTTGTATTCTACAAGCATCCAGAAAGTACGAGGTCCGAATCCAGAAAAGAAACAGGATCCCGGACTAGGGATCCGGGACCGGGTTCTGGTCGTGCTCATAAAACGTTACACATAATGCGTATTTATACATTTTGGTCGATTAGGAAACAGCATTGAAGTCTGTGACATTGACAGTTAAGACGACCAATAGGAAGCAACATTTGAAGTGACACTGATAGTCAGGACAGCCAATATGTTATTTTCAATCAGACTGATTATCAAGATTTACTCTGTAATATACATGAAGAGTGTGAAACCAATCAGTGAGTGAATAGCTACAATTGCAATAGACATTTTTAGCATTAGAGAATGATGATGATGATGGTTGTTGGACAGCCATTAGAAACCTGGAAGCAATGAAAAACGGCTGTTTTGTCCATTAGTTTAGGACTCATCAGTGACAGTGAGCACCAACGACTCCTGCTACGTGCAGGATTCGAACCCAGTAATCTTGCGAGCAAACCGCTGGACCACTGAGCCGGTTGGTATCTGATGACGTTAATGTCTGACTCTGATCAATCTAAGGATTTTTATTGATACACAATTCTGAATTGTATTCATCGTTTTACTTATCTTCACTCAAATCAGATGACTAAACTTGCAAGAAGTGTATTGATTTTATCATAATTCAAGATGATTGCACGACGTTGTGAATAGATTCAAGTCAGAAATCAGTACCTTTAGATGTTGACTCAATGGTCGCTTTCAGCTTTCCGACTCGTTCATGCGTACTATTGTGAGTTTTTCTCCTTTTTTCTACTAAAATTGTTCAATTCTTCAAAAATGAGATGTACTAATAATATAATATACTACTTTTAAATTCAATTTAGTAAATTTGAACACTTCATCTCTGCCTAGTGCACTTCTAGGGTTACTGCCGGTACCAATCCTGGATAAAGGAAGAAGGTTAGGCATTCGGTTAGCGATCATATTCCATAGAATTCCAACTCGTTAATAAAAGCTTACCAGAAAAATTATTCGCTGATCGGTGGCCTATCCTTCATTAGGTAAAACAGGTGTAAGTAAGTAAGTAAGTAAGTAAGTAAGTAAATAAGTAAGTAAGTAAGTAAGTAAGTAAGTAAGTAAGTAAGTAAGTAAGTAAGTAAGTAAGTAAGTAAGTAAGTAAGTAAGTAAGTAAGTAAGTAAGTAAGTAAGTAAGTAAGTAAGTAAGTAAGTAAGTAAGTAAGTAAGTAAGTAAGTAAGTAAGTAAGTAAGTAAGTAAGTAAGTAAGTAAGTAAGTAAGTAAGTAAGTAAGTAAGTAAGTAAGTAAGTAAGTAAGTAAGTAAGTAAGTAAGTAAGTAAGTAAGTAAGTAAGTAAGTAAGTAAGTGTGTAAGTAAGTAAGTAAGTAAGTAAGTAAGTAAGTAAGTAAGTAAGTAAGTAAGTAAGTAAGTAAGTAAGTAAGTAAGTAAGTAAGTAAGTAAGTAAGTAAGTAAGTAAGTAAGTAAGTAAGTAAGTAAGTAAGTAAGTAAGTAAGTAAGTAAGTAAGTAAGTAAGTAAGTAAGTAAGTAAGTAAGTAAGTAAGTAAGTAAGTAAGTAAGTAAGTAAGTAAGTAAGTAAGTAAGTAAGTAAGTAAGTAAGTAAGTAAGTAAGTAAGTAAGTAAGTAAGTAAGTAAGTAAGTAAGTAAGTAAGTAAGTAAGTAAGTAAGTAAGTAAGTAAGTAAGTAAGTAAGTAAGTAAGTAAGTAAGTAAGTAAGTAAGTAAGTAAGTAAGTGTGTAAGTAAGTAAGTAAGTAAGTAAGTAAGTAAGTAAGTAAGTAAGTAAGTAAGTAAGTAAGTAAGTAAGTAAGTAAGTAAGTAAGTGTGTAAGTAAGTAAGTAAGTAAGTAAGTAAGTAAGTAAGTAAGTAAGTAAGTAAGTAAGTAAGTAAGTAAGTAAGTAAGTAAGTAAGTAAGTAAGTAAGTAAGTAAGTAAGTAAGTAAGTAAGTAAGTAAGTAAGTAAGTAAGTAAGTAAGTAAGTAAGTAAGTAAGTAAGTAAGTAAGTAAGTAAGTAAGTAAGTAAGTAAGTAAGTAAGTAAGTAAGTAAGTAAGTAAGTAAGTAAGTAAGTAAGTAAGTAAGTAAGTAAGTAAGTAAGTAAGTAAGTAAGTAAGTAAGTAAGTAAGTAAGTAAGTAAGTAAGTAAGTAAGTAAGTAAGTAAGTAAGTAAGTAAGTAAGTAAGTAAGTAAGTAAGTAAGTAAGTAAGTAAGTAAGTAAGTAAGTAAGTAAGTAAGTAAGTAAGTAAGTGCATAAGTACATAAGTAAGTAAGTAAGTAAGTAAATAAGTGGGTAAAATTCAAATCGATTTCGATAAACAACTATCAGTCGTATCATGGGGCTGTGGAAATCGTTAAGCTATTTACTTGAAATCATGAATCAGTTAATGTTAGATTGCCATTAGAACCCTGGATGCTCTGAAAGACGGCCGTTTCGCCTTGGTATGGGACTCATCAGTTCTAGTGAGTAGTCGTGACCTTGTTCAGGTGTGAAGCAGTGCTTACCGACGACAGTGGATGATTTTGTGCACAAAACCATGGATGGATTGAAGTTAGACACGAAATCCGTTAGAATTCAGCTCAATGGTCAGGAGGTTAAACGTTTGTGTGCAAGACTGAAGGTTCCTGGTTTGTATTTCATCTACTATTTATAATGTCAATAAAGTATAATGTTGACAAACGAAAAATTAGTGAACCGTAGAGAAAAAAATTATTTATCTATTTATATAATGGAATTTTGTTTACAATACAACTTCCTGTCCTAAGTTGTAATTATAAAAAAATTGAAGGTATATAATCCGTTTTTCGGTTACCTGTTTTACTTTGACTTATTCAGTTAGTCAAAAAATAAAATCACTTTAAGCTTTGAGAAAAACAAACAAAAATCTGTGTGAACTAAAAATCAGTTTGTATATCAATAAGTCAATTTCTTGATATATTTTCAAGGCAATTAAATGCATACAGCAACAACGTACTGTGGGAGAGAACAAACCAGATTCCAGTGGAGGAGGAAATCAGGAAGAAGTGGTGGAAGTGGATAGGACACACATTACGAAAAGCACTTAACTGCGTCACAAGACAAGCCCTCACATGGAACCCTCAAGGTAAAAGGAAAAGAGGAAGGCCAAGGAACACATTACTCCGAGAAATAGAGAAAGATATGAGAGAAATGAACAAACATTGGACAGAACTGGAAAGCGAAGCCCAGGACAGAGTTGGTTGGAGAAAACTGGTTGGCGGCCTATGCTCCATTGGGGGTAACAGGCGTAGGTTGATAAGTAAGTAAGTACTGCTTACGTTTGACTGAAAGTTATGGGGTTTGGGGGTTCGATGGAGATTGCCTGTTATTTCTATGATTGAAATCACGGGTGGATTTTATCTAGACAAACTTTTAAGAGCCGAAAGTAATGGAATGCTGTTTCGGACCTCAAATGCAACTCCTCGACATTATGTAGCAACTTCGTTTACTCTTTCGGTCTTTTATATTGTAAGAACATTCCATGTACCTAAATTACGGTTACTCTAGTTGTCAGAATGGGCATTAAACTCGAGACTTCCGAAGGAACTTGGCTTTCAACAACAGACTCCATAACGCTTCTAAATAAAGATGTTCTAAATCGCAGGGCACAGTTTAATCGGTTTGAATTATATTTCTATGGATAGCGTTTTTTAGCGAGTCAGTTTTCCACGGTGTGAGGTCACTAACCCCACTTGCAAACCTCCTCCTTTATCCAGACTTGGTACCGAAAGTAGATCCAGAGGGTCTCCAGGCAGAGTTTTAATAGTAGGCATTAGGCATAAAAGAATCAAACCCAATATATCTGGTAACTCTGCCGATGTTAAACCTCTTGACTACTGAGTAGACATTCAATAATGTTGCTGTCCAACTTCAATCAATCGATAACCTAATGTCCTAGGTTCGATTGTTACTTTCATGAGTCGTCGATGTAAACTGTTGAAGGAATCTCATATCAGGACAAAAAATCGCCCAGTATCTCCACTATCTCATCTGTAATCCAGACAAGAATAATTCCTCATTTCACTTAAAGATTCATCTCAAAACCAATCGTTTTTGACGACAATTTATTGATGTTTCAATCATCTGAAATACTGTACACGAAATATACTCTCCATCTCATTACCAACTAATCAACTTGTTTTATAAAGACTATATCAGGGCAATCCACACAGGTTGCATCTATACAACAACTAAGACTGATCTAATTCAATCAACAACGGAATCATCGAAATGTGATTGGTCAAACATTTCCTCATACACAAACAACGTCTGTTTCATTACGGAATAATAATAACTACGACTGAAGTTATCAATCGTTATTTATCAGTTAAATTGGGAACTGTCATTTATTATTCACTGACTGATTCATATAAAAAATTCATAATCCATCTGTTCTTAACATTAAATTTTCATAGCAGTTTATCAAAAATAAAAAGGAAGGAGAATCGTTTAAAGTACAGAATATGTACTGATTTGACGAAAAAGTTTTGTTTTGCTACTAACGAAGGTTTATATACTACTAACAGTTTATAAGATTTC